CAAGATTGACACAAAAACAAGCATGAGAGAAGTGGAGGGTGTGATGGACAATAAATAGAGGGACAGAGAGAAAGGGGAGAGAGAGAGGGGAGGGAGTGGGGAAGAAATACAGAGAAAGACCATCTGAGAGAATACAGGCCTCCATGCAACGATCACTCACCTCGCACATTCCAGTCGATATGGTCTGGTACGGCATCATCGCTGATGTCAGAACCATCGTAGGGGAGTCCGTTGTTGGGTCTGGTTTGACGTAGACGACCTCTCATTCTCTTCAGCTCCTGATGTGACTGGTCAGCCATGTGATTGATGTCAAGTACGTAGCCCAGGTTGGCTCGGTTGATGGAGTGGATCATTCTAAAGACAAGAGCAGAGTATCACGTTCAACCGAAAATCGCAACCACTGTTTAAAGCCCGTCTGTGCTAGTTTAGCCAAGGAGATTATACCTCTCTGCAAGGTCACTGACAGGTGGTTATCTCATCAAATCAGCTCTCATTTAACATATGAAAAAGGATCATGGTGGACCAACAAGCACCAATTAGGCATTGTTTGCTATATAGAGGGCGCAAGTAGCTATAAAGAACACATTCTTTGTTTCATTTTAATAGTGTTTTTTAATCAAATCATGTTCTAAAAGAACCTGTATATATGAACCACATGCCTATACAGACAACTTTCTTCTCAGCTGCATTATAATAGAGTAATAATCACTGAGACAAATGTCATCCCATATCAACATTGTCACATAGCTGATCTAAAGTTAAAAGTAATGTATGATTACTTCTTCCTCATTAATGTTGACTCCTTCTGTGGCATGTTTGTGAACAACTATTGTACAAGTACATGTCTTATAGGGGGAAAGGGGAGGGGGTATCTTTGGACTCGATGATTATGGAAGGCAAAGTTCACATAGCATCCATTCGTCTTTGTAGCCATTCCTCTTTCATATTTTTGGAAAGGTTTGCTGTGAATTATACAAATTCTTGGTGTGGGTGAACTGTGCCACACATAAATACTCCGTAAAGCCTGTCTGTACTAGTTTGGCCAGGGGGATTAGACTTCCCTGCAAGGCCACTGACAGGTGGTTATCTCATCAAGTCAGCTCTCAATTAACATAAGAAAAAGAGGATCATGGGGGACCAACAGGCACCGAATAGTCATTGTTTGCTATATAGAGGGCACAAAGAGCTACAAGTAATGCAGTGGGGCTTTAAGTTCATGCTACAAAAAAAGATTGGTGCACATCAATCCACCAGCTAATGTTGAGCCCAGCTAGGCTTACCTCACGTTCTTGGTGAAATGGCCCTTGCGTTGTACATGCTCCACGTCTGTCTTGTAGGTCTTGTCGTACTTCTGCTTGTACTCATCAAAGAGCTGATGGAAGCGGTCACCCATCTCTGGGTTCACCATCTCTTTCATGGGGTTTCCCTTGATCTTCTGCTCCACACCAGGCCCCGGGAATCCCGCACATGTCAAATCTGAAAACAGTAGCATTGATGTTATTCTAATATGATTGTATCAATGTTGATGCTATGCATATGATGTTGATGTTGTTTACAATGTATGTTATGATAAAATAATCATGATGTTAACATAACCATCATGGTAATGATGGTGTTGATGACGGTGAAAATGATAATGATGATAATGATAATGAGGATGATGGCAATGATAATAATGATAAATGATAACAAAAATAACAATGGTAATGGACTAGTGCTGTAGTCAAACGTTTAACCGACCGGTATCTGACCGGCCATGGCGGATTCCGTTTTCAATTGGACGGTTTTGTTTTCCCGTTTTTTTTTTTTTTTTTAATAATTGTTTTGTTTTGTTTGCTTTTGTTTTTTTTAATTTTCGATTTATGCCCATCCACCTGGCACTAGAACAGGCAATGTCTCCCAGCTCAGTAATCTGTGTGTTGACTCACCACTCAAAACTAGAACAACACTCCAATTTGTCTGTCATCTTGGTTTGAAAGTAATCTTTGTAATAGATCTCAATATGTAGTTTATAATAATAATTCATCCAATTTTTACACAAGGTGTACCACAAGGTTCCATCCTAGGTCCTCTACTATTTTTAATTTGCATTAATGATCTTACACAATCTTCTAAAAACGACATTGTTACTATTAATTGTGACAAGTTCACAAGCACAAATCGGTGCCTTCAACTGCACCCGCTTTTTCACACGGACCTGGCTTGCTGCCGACAGAGTCGGCCAAATTTTTTTTTTTTTTTTTAATCGTTTAACCGAAAACCGTCCGGTTTTGACTGGCGGTTAAACGGAATTGGAGATATCCGTGATATTACAGCACTAGTAATGACAATATTAAAACGATCATAATCGTTTATCGTCTGAGGGCAATCTTTTCAATAATGAATTCATAGATATGTTTTGTTCTTTTTCATTTTACCCAGTTATTGATAAGCCCACCCGCATAACGAAAGATTCTGCTACATTAATTGACAACATGTTTACAAATAAGCCTGATACGGTCAGGGAAAGTGGTATTCTCTTTGGAGACATTAGTGATCATTTGCCCATATTTAGCGTTATTTCACCAAGTTGTATATTTTCTAACTCTGACAATGTAAACAGTTTTAAACGTGTAGTCAATGATTATAATATTGCAATATTTTGTAGACATTTAAGGGATTTTGACTGGAATCTTCGTGTGACAAATGTAAATGACATGTTCAAAGACTTTGTGGATATTTTTCTAGATATATACGACAAGTGTTTCCCTCTCAAAAAATCAAAAAATATGAACAATCGGAAGAACAAGGCTTGGTTCACAAAAGAACTAAAAAAAATGTGTAAAAAAAGACAAACTTTATACAAAAAATTTATATCACGCCGAACAGTAATTGATGAAAGAATTTACAAGTCATTCCGTAACAAATGCACAAAGGCAATACAAAAAACAAAACAACGATATTTTCAATCTAAATTTTGTGTCGTTACAGGGAATTCCAAGGCTACTTGGAAAGAAATTAATACGGTTTTAAATAGAACTAAAATTAAAAAAAATATCCCTTCCAAAATTGTAAATGACAAGAATGACATATCTCACCCAAGGGAAATGGCTAACGAATTTAATAAATATTTCATTTCGATAGGCCCCAATTTACAAAAGAAACTGGATGATCCCCATGATACATGTAATAAACATTTCTCCAAATATCTTTCAAATCCTTGTTCTTCTTCAATATTTTTTCAACCGATTGTTGAAAGTGAAATTATATCCATTGTTGACAAATTTAAAAATGATACTTCTTCTGGTTTCGACCACATAGATGTAAAAGTAGTTAAGAAAGTAATACCGTTTATTTGTAAACCATTGAGTCAAATTTTTAACATGTCAATGTCGACAGGTCTTGTTCCAGATAATCTCAAAGTAGCTAAAGTTATACCAGTTTTTAAATCGGGGTCAAAAGAATGTATGTCGAATTATAGACCAATTTCTGTACTTACTGTTTTCTCAAAAATAATCGAAAAATGTGTTTTCAGTAGAATTTCCAATTTTTTATCTTCTAACAACTTATTAAATAGCACTCAATATGGATTTAGAGAGGGTCTGTCAACATCATTAGCAATTACAAAATTCACTCAAGATATTACAAATTCCATTGAAATTAAAAAAACAACAGTCGGTGTATTTTTAGATATGTCAAAAGCATTTGATACAATAGACCATAATATTTTAATGCACAAATTATATCATATTGGCATACGAGGTGTTCCCCATAAATGGATTGAAAATTATCTTAGCAATAGAAAACAATATGTTACAATTAATTCTACAGACTCAAATATGCTCAATGTTGTTTGCGGGGTTCCACAGGGTTCTATCCTCGGCCCATTATTATTTCTAATTTACATAAATGATATTCAGTGTTCATCAAATGTCCTAAGTTTTATACAGTTTGCCGACGATACAAGTATTTTTTTTACCCATAAAGATATTCCCCTTATTAATACCACGTTTAATAAAGAATTACAAAATGTATATCAGTGGTTAAAATGTAATAGGTTAATTATAAATATGTCTAAAACTAACTATATGGTTTTTAGCAATATGAATTATAATATTGATGATATAAGAATCCATATGGACAAATCCCAACTATTACATACAAATCATACCAAATTTTTAGGTGTTCATATAGATGAATCCATGTCTTGGAAATATCATTTAGGAGATGTTTGTTCTAAAATTTCTCAAGTTGTTGGTATCCTATATCGCCTGCGCAATTTATTACCCGAAAAAATTCTTCTTACTATTTACAATACCCTTTTCCTACCCCACATATCATACTGTAATATAAATTGGGGTGGCTGTCCTAAGTCATATTCTGATAGAGTCTTTAAACTACAAAAAAAAGCCATTCGCCTGATATCAAAATCCTCGTATAACTCTCATTCTGCTCCGCTATTTCATAAGCTCAATGTATTAAGCCTATCCGATATTTGTCAGCTACAAACTGGTATGTTCATGTATAAATGTAAAAATCGCTTATTCCCTCGTTATATTACTGATCTATTTCCTATAAATGCAAGTATTCACTCTTATCAAACTCGGTCTTCTAATGATTTTCATTTCCCCAAAATACGTACATCCTATGCAAAATCTACTTTATTTTTTACCGGCCCAAAACTGTGGAGTTCTTTACCAAATGAAATAAAAAAACTCAGTGTCACTCCAATCTTTCAAACGCAAACTAAAAAAACACTTGATAAATTCATACCGTAATCAACTACAACGTTAGTAGAGCTTCTTAACCCGTCCTTTCTTTCTTTATATACAAATTTACTTTGCTTTTTTGTTTTGTTTAACGCAATTATTCAATTGTTATTTAATGTATTAAGATTATATTTAATTGATCATGATGGGTGCCAACGCACTTAAGACTATTTTCCTGTCTTCCAGTTGGCTCCCTCCGCAATAATAACATGTTCTATATCATTACACTTTAAAGGTATAGTTGAGTATTGGTAATTTCCAAAGTGCCCCTCCAAAACAAATTTGGTTTATTTCAGTACCATATGAAAGATCATCGAAAAAAACATGGGAGATGATAATAATTCCAAATCAAATGCTCTAATTGTTGTGCAATTTGCTTTCAAAACATTATATAAAAGTGTTTGACGTCCGGACATCACTTTTGACTTTCGACGGTTTATTTTTTGAATTTACGTGTTTAGCTCCCTCTATGTCATTTAACAACCAGCGTATTTACAACGAGTGTTTGAGTTCGTTGGTACGTACAGTACTACAGGTAGCTAGCAGGCGGGTATCCGACCGCGCGCTAGTAATACAGTACAGCTGATCAATTCCAATACGCTGCTTTCACGTAAAGTATAACACACACAGCTCATATCAGCGCCGATCGAACGCTAGACAGCTACAGACAAGCTTTGATTGAAATACGATAACGAGATCGAGATTGGAAAAGGAGCTCGAGGTCACGGACGATGGCCGACTCGGACTCGGGCTCGGACTCAGCTAGTGCTAAGCCTAAGGACAAGGCTAAGGCTACGCTAAATCGGAATAAGACTAAGTAAGACGGTAAGAGGAAGGAGAGAAACAAGCAATGGCAGCTCGACCATCCGGCCCAGAGGAGGCGCGGGAGTGGCTGTGAACAAGGCCAGGGTACGGCGGAGAAACTTCGCGAGCTGCAGGCGGCCTTCTCGTTGCCGAGTCTAGACTAGAGGATGCAATAGACATGCCAGCTCACTGAGAGGTAAGTTGAAATGATATACGCCCCACTGCATTGGGTAGGCCTACCGTTTTAATTTGATCTAGTCTAGAGACTAGATGCATGGAATCGGCAAATTTAAGAAATTACGTTTTGTTATCTCTTGCCTTGGATTTTTAATTCAGATTTCATGAATCATATGATATTGATAGTCTAGCCTAGGTCTACAGTAGACCGAAAGCTTCAGTCTCTATATTGTCGGTTGTTCCACTGAGACTACGTCTGGCTCCACTAGACCTCCGGATGAATTTGGTTCAAATGAAAATATTGGAAGCATATGCGATCCTACAATATTCAGTGAACGTTGTCGCGTTGAAATCGAGTCTAAAGTGATGAAATTGTAAATAATAATCTCTTTATGGGGTATACTATAACTCTCTCTCAAGGTCAATATATTAATTCAGCTATACAACAAGCTACAATTGACCGATTGGCTATTACCTTTTTGAAATTATATATCACAACTACATATTCCGGGATTTTTATGGTAGCAGCTACCGTTGTACGACCGTAGGCGCTATTTTAAATTTATCAAAATTTACCGGGAGCACCGGTAAATTTTTATATTCAATTTTTTTCGAAAGCAGAAGTGTTTTAGGAGCTAAATTTTCTAGTGCTTATAATACTTCCACAGGGGCATCCAAATATATCAAAATTGTAAAGAATCACTATCCACCCAATTTTCAAAATTTCCCAAAACTTTGTAATAGACCCTACCTTTAATGTCCCTCGTTACAACTGCAGTTTTCTTTGTAATGATGACGTGCAGGGCTAGTCAACCGGGTAAACATCCTGCTCTTTTTAAAAGTCGACAAGGTTATACTATAGCTTGCTTGAGATGTGACTGTCTCATCTATATTTATCTCTACCAAAGAGTGTCTCAACTTCACATACATGACAGAGAACCAATGCATCAGTTATTAGTCATGCAAATTCCAAATCTGGCTAGCTGTGATAATTATTAGAGAATGCCATCTTCAAAATAATTTCTTTTGGTGATTTAAAATCTGAATGTTTTTTACTTTGTGAATGACTTTCGTTTCTTCACTTTTTACAGATATGAAGAACAGACAACACAATCCATCCCCACCGAAGAAATTCCAAGCAGCAGTGGGGAATTAGCAGGTGAATAGTACAAGTCACCTTTGACCGCAAATTCATGGAGAACTTGGCCTACTCTGCTGATTTGCTCGCTTCAGGTAGGATTCTGTATACATGTACGAAAGGCTCTGTAAATTGAGAGGAATTTAATGAGAATGCGTTCATTACGTACATGTTTGCAAGATTGAGCTCTTTTTCGGTTATGACCTATAAAATTGGGACATATCAGCAGGTCAAGATAATGCATCTTATTTGCTCATGTGTATGACATGGGATTTTCAATATTGATTTTGTGGTATGAAAATAATGAAATGCCCTATCATTTATATCAGTTTTTATTTTGTTTTCATAATTCCTTAGGCACACCAGCATGCTCGAGTGTTTCCACAACCATATACTGATGTATGCTTCCAAGCGGTATTCCTTTGAGTAAGTATTTTTAGTATCATTTTGTATGTTTGAAGTAAGATTGTGGAAAAGTTGAAACATATCATTACAGTACGGTTACAGTTACAATATCATATTTTGAAGCAAATAGCAAAGTTAATGAGAAATTATGAATGACATCTATATAAATGCTGAAATCACTTTTGGATGCATGCAGAGTCTTGAAACAGCAGACTTTGTATCGTACTTGTGTCGGTACCTGATGTTAAGTCAAGTTGGAGTGGTTGTAGCAGGGAAATGTAACTACCTTTAATTAAGAGTCAATAATTTACAACACAAATCCAGAACTGAAGTGAATGGCTCGTATTCACAAAGGAGGTTTGTACAAACCATGGTTTGGCCAAGGTTTACATCTATGGAATGCCATTTGTAAACTGATGGAGAAGGAATGTAAACTCCATACTTGTTAACAATGTTAATTTACAATTTACGGTATGCGAGCAGCATTCCATAGATGTAAACCATCGTCAAACCATGGTTTGTACAAACCTCCTACAAACCTCCTTTGTGACTACGGGCCAATGAGTCTGAGATTTGTCTAAAGCATTTACTATTCATTCATCATGGTAGTGGTAATACCAATTGTTTGTCTTATCCATCCAGCTACCCAGCAAACCGGGCAAGGAATTTGCTTGCGGTCATCGACTACATGGCACACAAGGACAGGCCCGACCAGATTGATGAACAAGGCAATACAAAGTGAGTGGAAATTAGAAAGAAAGAAAAAAAGGTTTTCTTTTCTTTCTTGTTTTTCCTATTTTTATTTGTACATTTTTTTTTAGATGGACAAGGCAATCCAAAGTGGGTGGAGTAAAAAAAAAAAACATGATTTTTTGTTTTCCCTGTGTAGTTGGACAGGGCAATCCGAATTGGCAGTTCTTTCCCATGAAATTTATCAATTTTGGGGAAATTATTAAATATCTAATTGTCCTTCCTGGGAACGCCCTTTTAAATCGCCAAAATATGACGTCATCTAAAGAAGTTGTCCCTGTACACGACGCACATCTAAATTATGTAGATGACGGACTGTAAGCTGATGGTTTGTCAATCATGCTGCTGATTTTGGACCCTAAATGCGGACTTGGATTCAGTGTAATAATATACTTGGTGTGTAATGCAAGGTTCTGGAGTCATCAAAATCATCATAAATTTGGCAGAGTTTTGGTAAAGTAACAATCACTTACACAGAAAGATGTATATGGGACAACACACATGGTGTCGGCCTGTCGGGGCTAGTACTACCCTGATTTCCTTATCTTTCTATGCTCATTACTCAGCCAGTATACATTTTCTTCCAAAATTGTTTGGCACATGACATTTATTTGTAATCTTGAACATTCAGTGTAAGTTTCGTTAGATTCTGTGAGAATTCATTTTCTTTTTTTACCAGAACTCAAGTTTATCTTTAAGAGATATGAATCATTTCCAATTGACAAGAATGAGTGTGCATATAATGCAACTTGTTACATTTTGCATGTTCTTTTATTTTATGATACAGATATGTTGCAGTATGGTCAAAGCGTGCCAACAACTACGTGGCCCGGAAGGAGAAGGTCCCCAAGACCTACCCCTACATGTATGTACAAGGACTCATCGGTGCGATACTGGAACGCAGAGAACAGGACCAAGGACCACTGTTCTCGAAGGCTGTTCTGCTCCCTGATGACCCTAGACACACAAGGCCCCGGCTTGCACCATTTCCTCCACCACAAGTTGATGTGATCCTAGCCAGGAGACTAGGCCGATTAGAGAAATCCATGTGAACATTTGGGATTGTCTGACTTGAGAACTGCTTTTTTTCGAGCAGAGACTAAGGGATCCAAATGGCGTCCTTCCGTCCATCCTCCGTGACTGTACACAAATTTGAATGAAGTCTAATGTGAAATCTTACCTGCAAAAATCAATTAGGGTTGCTAACTTTCCAACCCTGCATCTGTTTGTAACCATACTTGATTGGTACATGTAGATGCCCTTTATTGGCCTCCATGATATTCTGGAGTTGAAGGTCACATAAGTAGGTGAAAGGTCAAATGAGGTTCATTGTTGCATGATTGCATGCAAGACTCTTAATCGCCTCGATTTAATTTGTCCATGTGGCATGTTTTTAGGCTATCTTGAGGATTGGTTGGAACTTAACATTTTGGACTCATTTGGTTGCTAATGATTTTGTGGTCCGGAGGTGAAAGATTGCATGGCTTAGCATTACGAGCATGTATTCTTGATATGTCAGAGACCCTTTGACAAAATACCACCAAACTTGATACCAGAGTGTCCCTGGGGATCATGGGGATGTGGTTATCTGGAGAAAAAAAATCACATAACACATGATATACATGTACCAGAAATAAATTGTTATTGTTGCTAGATTAGCCACCATGCTTGGCACTTGTATATTGTATTACAATAAGAGGTTGGCAAGTTTACAAATGGAAGAAATGTAGGAATATAAAAGACAAATTGTGACATCAGTGTATAAAAGCTCTATGTGATTTATACAATTCATAATTTGTGATAAAATCAGTGCTTGCTCATGTGGAAATGGTGGATATTTCAATTTGTATCTATTTGGCAACCTATATTCCTTGAAGAAGTTACGGTAGTAATTATAAAATTTACAGCCAAGAGGTCAAACCATGAGTCAACAATGTGTTTGGTTTTAGTGACTGTGCATGTAACTGAGGTGACAGTCGATCATGAAAAAGACTATACTTCGGAACCTGTTGAAAATCAACATGGACAGAAGAAAGATTTGTAGAATATCTTATTGTAAATAGTCTTCATTTTTTGTTTAATGCAATCAATGTGACTAAAATAATGCAAGCGAAAAAGAGAAATGATCACAAGACAGCAAAACAGTTGGTTTCATGCATCATTTGAATCAATGAACGTGAATCAGCTCAACGCCAAAGTATTGCGGTTCAAGGTTATATCATCAAGAGATATGCTGCCTGTAACTACTTTGTAGTTTGAAAGGGTGTATAAAGGAATAAGGATACAGTTGGGCAGGCGAGTCTTTCTGTTGGTCTATTGTAAAAAACTGGGTCAAATTTTTTCCAATTTTTTTGCAAATTGTAATAAAACTTGGTATACCGATTGACCCGAGGGTGTGCAAGACACATTTGTTGTGTCTGTCTGTTAAGGTACCTCCATGGTAACCAAGCTTTGCACAAAGAATACAATTTTGTTTTAATAATCTTGTGGAGCATATTCTTTCCAAGTTTTAGCAATTTTATAGTTTTGGTATCTTTGATGAGGCATTATAATAACAGTATAAAACTCAATGCATGTGCAGTGTGTAAAATAAGTATGTGAGCAAACTATTGGAAGTAGTTTGATCGATTCATATGAAACTCAGTACACACAACGCAGAATTGTCTTTTGTGTGCGTATAGGACATGACCAGTTTTGAAATGTCTGTGCTATTTTTTTGAAAAACCTTATGTTGGATGTTAATCACTTGAGGTGATATTCATAGTCGAGCATTAGGGAAGATGAAAGACATATATGTACCTAACTATACTTAATTTTTTGCTGAAACTGATATGATTCAGGATTTGAGATCGATATGGAGTATGTATACATGTATACTCGTACACATTAAGGAAAAGAATCACTCAGACAATTTTTAAAGCATTTATATATAAAGTAAGATGTGAAACTTAAAAGATAAAACCAGTTATGGTCATGCGACTGCATTGTGAAAGGATTGTTGTGGAATCGATCAGAAAAGGTTGATCATCTAGCATATAAGTCTTGGTGTGTACTGCAAGGTTCTAGAATCATCGAAATGATAAAAAAATTGGCCCAGTCTTGGTAAAGTTACAAGCACTGTACACAGAAAGATGTATATGGGACTACGCACAAGTGCGCGACACATGCGTTATATCTATCAAGTCCAAATAGATATAATAATTTACCAAATATATCAATTAGTAGGCAGTTTCTCGGCAAAATTTGTATGATCACGTACTAGTCAAAACATTGTGTGCGGGCAAGCACTGAATCAAATGACCGGGGTAATAGTATATTTGTCAAGCGCGTAGAAACATTACTGTTATAGATACTTTTCTTTGGTAAACTTATCTACACATTGCCTATAGAGTATGTCAAGTTTTTATGAAAGACACAAGATAAGATGTATATAAATAAGCAGTAACTAATAAGTAACAAGACATGGTGGTATACAAATAAAGTATATTGCTCCTTCTTAATGACGACGGTTAAAGTTGTCATAGCGATAGATGCTAAATAAAAATGTGCCTTTTTTAATACACATGATCTGTTTGTATGCAATGGTTGAAATCAACATCACGTTTAAATATTGCCTTCAGTACAGCAATTATAATTTGTATTCATCTCAATAATGTTGTGTAAATTTAACTGTTAGTTATGGCCGAATAAAGCTTTCAATGTACACCATAAAAATATGTTATGTATCTTCATTTTAGCATTACTATAATTATATTAAAATCTTATGTCTTTACACATTTACAAGTTATCACATACTGACATAGGTCATGCAATACACAGGCACTGTAGAACACAACTTATTTACAAGAAGTTACAATCACTTTTTTTTTAAACTTTACAATTGCATGCAGTACCAAAATAAGAATACTGAAAAACACTGCATTATGGACAAGTATGAATCAAGTAAGATGTTAAATTAATTCACTACTGTTATTCATTATAGTATACTGATACAACAATTTTTAATATTTTTTTAAATTTATTTCTTTTTATTTCTCCACTTTCCCTTTAGCCATGTACCTTCATGTTGTTATATATGTTAAAGGTGTCGCTCTGGACCTATAACATATGATAAGACAAAAAATCCACCAGTTATTTCTGATTTCTATCAAATTTTTAGATTTTGTGTTGTTGTTGTTGTTTGGTATTATCGGCGTTTCATTCTTTTTTAGAATATTTACGCCTTTCACTTTATTTTTTTTTTCTTCTATTTTTGGTACTATTTGTCAATTCATATTCATCTCTTTTTTTTGGATAATATAATCTCAGATCTACTGGTCCATGAAAACCCCTCACCGCAATTGGCACCTTCCTGCCAGACCGGCGCGGTACATTGCGCAATCTTCTCGGCCATCATTGGCCTAGGCAACTCTGGTGCCGGTGAGAGGATTCTGGGGTACACTGTAGATCTTTTGAGTCTCTTGTTTGGGGTTTACCGTCCTCAATCCGTCTTTACTCTTTCTTACCTTTTCTCTTCTAGTATTTTTCCATTTTGTAAAACCTTATTTTTCTATCAAAGTGGGTATCAACATCTTAGGGCATTTGGTTGTCGTGCGATATGTGCCAAAAAAAAAATGTGGATTTAGTAATTCCTTTTTGAATGAAACATGGATTTAGCTTCTTTTGGAATTGAATGGATTTAGCTCCTTTTGGAATGAAACTGTAATAATGTTGTTTACTTTCTTTTCGAAAGGTTATATTTATGTGTGATTTCACTATTATTATTTAAAAGGAAAGGTTTGCTGCTAAATTTGAATAAAATTTCAGTGACTTTATTGAGAAAATATGATTTATTTTTTATTTTTTAGGTACAATAACATGTTTCATTCCAAAAGGAGCTAAATCCACGAAAATAAAAAATCAAAAAATTTAGTAAACATCAGAAAAGCCGAAGGGAAGATTTTTTCTTATCATTATTGGCAGATAATCAGGTCCATGCAGGGTGACACCTTTAACATATATAACAACATGAAGGTATACATGGCTAAAGGGAAAGTGGAGAAATAAAAAAGGCAATTTACTCAGAAGTACCCAAAGTGGATTTGGCTCCTTTTGGAATGAAACTCTTCACATATTATAAAAGGAAGACAAGTAATATAAAAGGAAAAACGAAGGCCCACGTCATTTACATAGAAGGTAGGTGGACAGATAACCTCGATGTTTTTAATCTAATTTCATCTGGGAGATCATTCCACAGCTTTGTTCCTACAAACGAAATACAAAATTGCCCTTGCGTTGTCTCACATATTGGTTGATAGATAGAGTAAGCCACTTTCTTTACACTGTAGAAGTAATCAACTAGGTCATACGACGTATGAAGGGGTGACCAAAGTTCGCGGACATTTTAGAACATATTACAAAATGTGATATTCGATCTATGATTTCTCACATTCTACACAACTTTATTTATTTCAATTATTACCAAATGGACGGCAAAGTTTTTTACTACAGATTGGTTCAACTAGAAAAATTTACCGTCGAAGGATTTCGGAGATATCGCGATCTAAAAATTCGATGTCCGATCGTGCGCGCGCGCTGCATCTAAAAAAGTCATAAAAACAATGAGACCTAACTTCACGCACGGTGGTTTACAGTTGATTTATCAAAAAAAGCGATCCATCAAAAATAAGGTAATATCATAATTTGCAAGGCAAGATATCGTACAATCAGTTCGTACCACTCTTTACTTACAATTTTCAGGATTTCTGATCTCAAAATGAAGATTTCCAGACCCTTATCGATAAGTTGATAATTTTTCGGAACGGACGCAAATAACTGCAAAATTTGCCGATCTTTTGTCAATATTTTCACAATTTCGCAACCAATTCTAAAGAAAATTTCGTTTCTGGGTAATTTTAAGACCCTCTTTCCATTGGTGATATCAGATTTTCGAAATCTTACCGATTTTTTGAGAAAGCGAACTTTGGTCACGCGCGAACTTTGGTCACACCGCCATACAATACATACACATACACTACTACTAGGTCGAGCGTACTCGCACTACATACACATACAGTATTCGCATATCGCGCTCAAAAACAATAGCGCTACCAGTACCACAGACCATGCAATTATGTGCAGGCCTCGCATACCATAATGTGTACAATATAAATCAGTCAGCGCGCTATAGACATGGTTCGGATATTACTTGCACGCCCATATCCGATCGTCGTCTTGGCGAAAATTCACGGTGTGCTGCCGCTTGACCGAGAGGTGGCGCTATACAATTACACTGAACACGCCTCGAAAGTAAAATTTTTGATAAATAAAATCATTTGCAGTCGAACAGGTTTTTTGCATATAAATTCACTCTAATGTAATATTTCGGATTTATATCTTCAATGGTCAATGCATTCTTAGACATTTATTGTATGTTTTTTATGTTTAGATCATAGTTTCGTTCGCTAATGTGAGTATTGACCAACACTCAACTATTCCTTTAATCAATCACTTATGCTCTTTGTCAATGTTACTGTAAATGTTCATATTTTGTTTCGGTATTTGTTGTTGTTATTGTATATACATGTATATATCTGTTATATGTAATGTACATCTTTGTACTTTTATTATTGTGGAAAATAAATGAACTGAACTGAACTGAATAATAATATTGATAATGAAAATGATGATATTGAAAATGATGATGATGATAGTGGTAATTATAACAATGACAAAAAATATGACAATAATGTTTTTTTCTTCTACTACTACAACTACAACTGACTCACTTTTGGGGATGCTGAAGACATCATCAGAGATTGCAGTTGCTTCATCGTAGAAGTCATAATCGATGATATACTCGTCAAAGTGCGAACCAAGTAGACTATCATATCCCATCATCATATACTGCACAGGTCTTGGAGGCGTGGTGGTGGTGACGGCAAATGTGTACGTGCTGGTGCGAGACTTGTTGAAGAACGTCATGGTTGTTTTGTTCTGCCACAAGTTTACGCTCTGCCCATTTCGCAATCCACCAGATAAGAACTGTAAGAAAAGAGTGTAGGCTTGTGTTCTAGGTTAAGAGGTCAATGTTAAATCATGGATGTGGGTTAACGTAGCACAATGGCCACCTCCGAATAGGTAGATAATAATAGTCATCATAATAATCACCATCATCAAGATATATACTTGTACTTGCATCAAGTACCTCTTGTATGATATATCCAAATTCAAGATATTCTTATGGGAATATGTAAAATACTTACTGAAAAGGTCATGATGAAAATTTTACAAAGTGAAATTGTACCATGAAAATGTATGGCTATTTAGTGGTCCAGGGTGTGGAGTGCACTTAAAGCCACACTGTCCTATTGGTAGCTACTTGCTCCCTCTATATAGAAAACTTCCCCAATTGGTGCCTGCATGTTCGTCCCCCATGATCCTCTTTTTCTTATGTTGATTGAGAGTTGAGTTAATGAGATAGCCACCTGTCAGTGACCTCGCTGTGTAGTCTAATTCCTTCTGGCTGAACTAGTACAGCCGGCCTTTAACTCATGAAATCTTTTTTTCAACTTACTTATTTTGCAAAAAATTCAACTTACCGTGAAGCCAGTGAGATCAGGTAGCATACTTTGAGGCATGACCGGGTCACCCTTCTCACCGGGGATGAGGAAACAACTCTCAAGAGAGGGGAGACCTTTCACGGTAGCTGGAGAGATCTTGTAGAGATTACCGTAATCCTTCTCATCACCTCGGAAGTACACCTTGTCCATGCCTACAAGTTGATGGAAATACAGAGTTCAGCTTCAAATTGTTTAATTTATTTGGAAACTTATTAACTTTCAACAAAAATGTTGTCATTCAACACAAATAACCATGCTGACTTAGCATGGTTGCTAAGGCAAAAAAAAAAAATATTTAAGTACCATAAAATTGTAACTCTGACAGTCACAAAAATAAATACAGTTTACTTATAAAAGGGGGTAACAAAAGTTGGTGTATAAAGGGGATGGTCAAACTGACTCAAGTGGACAAATCTTTGTTTGAAACTGAGTAACGTCTTTTGGATAATAAAGTAAAACATTGAGGTAAATGATCACATCTGATTGATACAAGTCTACACTTTCCTCATTAAGTAGGCATGGTTTCAGTTTTAGATTATTATTATTACGATTATGTATTTGGCCTCACCTGTGTACGGGAGGCGAAAGCAAACTGAATTATTGTAACACTACTCGGGTCTCTCCTCCTGGTATAACTGATTGGGGTTGTACAGATGGACCACTACACCAGGGTTGCCCCCCCCCCCCCTACTGAATAGTGCAGTAGGTTCTTATCATGTAAAGGTGGTGACTCTCCTCTTCATGAAGACTCCATTTAACGTCCTATCCGAGGGACAGAGTGCTTTCCTCTGTAACATACATGTAGCCTGTGTCCATGAAACAAGGGAGGGGCCCTTTAAAACACAACGCAGACTTTAGTCCTCTGCCTGGGTTGGATTCAAACCCACGATCTTTGGTTCGACAGGCAGATGCTTTACCAACTTAGCCAACTTGCCTGTGTGAGGTCAAAATCTATCTATCTATCTAAGTATCTTCTCCCAGTTCGGAGGTTGATTGCAACATCTCTTCATTTCACTAACAAAATCACCGAGGAGAAAGAAAAAAGAAGAAGGCTCACCACTGTAGGTATCCATTCTACTCCTGTTCTTCGGGCCCTGGAAGAAGATCTCAAAA